AAATAAATAAATAAAAATAAAAAATAAAACCTTACTTGAAAATACTACCAAGCCGAATTTTGTAGTTTTTTTTTGTGTTGGTAGGGACACCTGATTTATAGACTGCTAAATTCTCTTCCTCTGTTTCAGTAGGAAACCAAGAAACCATTTTGCCTACGGCTTCGGTAGCACACACCGTTCCGAGTTTGAGTAGCCAATCAGAATGCGTTTAAAAGCACTATCCGCTGCTGTTGTCAAACTTCCCGTTTTAAATTCCATATACGTCGTGGAGTTCAATTAAGCAATAGATCACAAGTTTTTATGGTTTATAGGCTGATAAACCACGCGGGATGTTGGAAGAACACGAGAAGAATTCGTATATCACGAGCCGCAGGCGAGTGATTTACGAATTCTTCGAGTGTTCTTCCAACATCCCAAGTGGTTTATCACGCCACTAAACCATAGAAAATTGTGGTCTATTGCTTTTATATAATAATTCAGAAGACACGCGATATTTCCATGAGTTTACTGGCACGATAAACCATAGCTGATTGACCAATCAGAGCGCGCGTATTCATTTGATTATTATATAAAGTGTGTTAATCTATGATTTTTATGCGTGACAGTAGACTCCTCACCCATTGCCTCGCGGCTTCACCGCTCGCATTCACGCTCGGTTTCGCAGCCAAAACAAAAGCACTTGTGCGCGATTAGCGTGACTGCTGTGTGAGGCGGTTGACATTTCCGGCTTTTATTCAGAAAGCTCGCTTTCTCGGAAATTTGCAATTTGCAATTTGCATTCTTCCAACTGGTAAGCAAGACAAAGAACATAATTGAAAGGCAGAAGATGTCGCAGTCTCGAAAATTTCAGAAATTGCATCTTTTTAACTGTGATCGCACTTACAAACTAGACGCCGTTGAAGACTTGTTAAATGCAACAAAAGCGAAGACCCGCTTCGTCCTCGTGGAGAAGCACTATTTCTCTCTTGCAGAAATGCCTGACATGTCCACTAAAATCATTCCCAAACTACACATGGATTTGGCCTTTTTTGTCGTCCACGCACACGAATCTCGGCTGTCGATCAACGAAGACAACGCTGGAATTGGTTACGCGAAGATTTACAGAGCACTGCTTAATGCTACAGGTAAGAAGCGGAAGTTAAATTATATCAAATTCCCGGAGTAACTCGCTTGTTTTACTATTTTACCATGATTTTTTTAAAAAAACAAAATATAGTCCTCACTCTTTTGCAGTATAAGCAAGTATTTGGTAGGCATCACTTCAGTATGGAACGATACAGGCAAAAATAATGGGAAATCTGATTAAATATGACTAAGGGAAAGCGAAAGTAAACATTTCCATAAATCTCTCACTACGCTTTAGAAAACAGTGTAAGTTTAATGCGCAAATGAGCCATGCATGTCGAAAACAACGTAGCAGGTTGGGCTAAAATTAGGCGGCTCTTCGAGGTATAGAGCCAAGATTTTTAAGACCTTCTGTAACTTCGAAATATCAATAAAATGTGTGGTAGTACTAAAATGTTCGCATCATCTTAAAACCTTCACCATAACTGACGTTAGTCGCTGTATTTTTGTCGTTCTTGTGACTCAAAAGGGTGAATTTTGGCGATTTATACAAGATATGCAACACTTTCGACTGTATACATGGAATATTCTACCAGTCACTCGCATTTTCTCAGTATACGTACACAGGAGCCTATGTAACCGCACCTACCTACAAGACCTTAGCAACCCAGTATTTATTCACATGACAATGGCCGGTTTTATACTAGAGGACGCATTCTTCGTCCAGAAGGATGATTCGTTCTCGCCGTTTTTATACTAAAGACGCATTATCCGTCTGGACGAACTTGGGAAACATTTGTAGTTCGTCTGGTTATGCGTCTCTAGTATAAAGACGGGCACAAGACGTATTATGCGTCTAGACAAGCTATCCTTCGAAATACGCCTTGAACGACGGATTACGAGAGATAGTTCGACTAGACGTATAATTCGTCTTGTGCCCGTCTTTATACTAGAGACGCATAACCAGACGAACTACAAATGTTTGCCCAAGTTCGTCCAGACTGATAGTGCGTCTTAAGTATAGAAACGGCGAATGGCGAAAGGTCTGATGGGTAATTTCTTTCGCTCAAAAGGTAAAGGAATGTAGCAGAGCTTTGACAATGAACTCGTCAAGCAGAACGTAGCTGGTAGGGCTAAAATTAGGCGGCTCTTCGAGATATAGAGGTTTTACACGGCAGCCATGTTGCATGGCAGGAACAAAAGATTCTCTTTCCTATGGCAAAAAAAAATGTTCTTTCTAATGCAAAACACTTTCATTGTTGCTGCCGTGCAACATGGCTGCCATGCGAAACCCCTATAGAGCCAAGATTTTCAAGACCTTTTGTAATTTCGAAATATAAATAAAGTGTGTGGTAGTAATAAAATGTTCGCATTATCTTTAAATCTTTACTATAACTGGGATATTCCATGGTATACCACAGCACGAGAAAGGTTGCACACCTATTTTATATCATGCCATAGAAAATAAAATGGCTAACACAATCAATGCAATGCACGATGGGACATTTGGGTGTAATACTTTGTATTCTCTATGGCACGAAAAAAGCTTAAGAGAGATGTTCGGGCCCAAATCGGAGAGATCCAAACAGAAATTGAGCTAAAAGCGTTCATTTTAAAACTTTATTTTTAAAATTCAGTTTAAAAACGTTGAGCCCCATCCATTCCGTTGATTTATATCTGTTTTGTCCGGCGTTTTATAAAGCCTCGTAGCTTCCGCTGGACAAGTTCATTGTCAAAGCTCTGCTGCATTCCTTTGCGTTTTGAGCGAAAGAAATTACCCATCAGGGCCGGGTTGTTCAAAGCCCGATTAAGCTAACCCAGGATTAGTGAGAATTTTGATTTCAGTTTTGTAACTTTTCGGTGAGGTTTTCTGTTTATGTTGTCTCTCCTCCAGTTTTGAATTTGAATAACCTTACACTACACAAAACATAAGCAGTGAAAAACCTCTTAATGTAGCAAAAATTGATACTTCGGTTAACTTTTAATCCTGGGTTAGCGTTTACCGGCTTTCGAACAGCCCGGCCCAGACCTTTCGCCAATACTCGGTGTTTCCCCCCGAATCGGAAACAACCCATCCGTAATTGTCAAATGAATAAATACTGGGTTGCTAAGGTCTTAGTTATGCGATCATGGCACCAAATTACGTTTTCCAAAGCTTTTAGCTTGTGTGTTGTCGTGCATAATCCCATTTTCCCCTTTTTCCTCAGGGGGGAATGTCATCATCGTTATCGGAGGTGATGACAACTACACGAACGAAGACGAGGAAGAACGATTAGTAATTTCTCGGTGGGCGAAGAGGAAGATATCTTCGCAATTCAGCGAAGAATTTCTTGATGGACGAAAAGGGTTCATCTTTTCTTGGAACAAAAAGCACAGACCCATTCACGAGGAAGCACTGATGCATTTCTTTGAATCTACCAAGAAAGAAGTGAAGTTTGAACATCAACCGACTCAACGAAAGCTTCCAACAAAGCCCACAACTCCGCCACCAATGCGATCTACAAAACTTGTCCAACCGTTCAAGTTACACAGTTCCTTGCCAGAAGGTAGTTTGAAATGTTGGCGAGAAGAATCCTTCGCTATCTCAAGCACCGAAAGCCATGCCACGAAATACGACGTTCCTTCTATCAGTGCCCGAGGAGAGGGACGTAAGGGCATTTCTCAACCAGACATCTGGAAAACTAAACCAAGAGGTTCGAATAATAATATATTTCTGCATTTTCCATCTTGATATTTGTATCTAGAACAAAAAGAAGGTGATTTCCCTGTCATTAATTAACACTTTTCGTGTTTGTATTAAAGTCAGAGTAAAAATACAAACGCGAAAGCTCAGGAACACGTACTGTAGGCGCGTGCAGCCTTTTCGCGTTTTCCAATCATCCACAAGTAGATTCACTTTGACATAGCATAAAATCCTTGAACAAGAACTGCCGATCGGTGGAGAATGTAGTGAAGCTCATATTTCGTGACTGTAATCTAAACTATCGATGATTTTTCCTCCAGACCTGGCAATTCTTGACTGTGGTGTGTCAGATGAGTCCATGAAAGCTGCAAGACAAGTATTTAATAGCCTTCGTCCCATTATTGGTGTCTCCACTGATACTGCAGTTGAAAACTGTTCACCCGCTTCTGCCAAGTCGTATTTGCTGAGAAACGCCCTCAGGTTCTGTGTCTTAATGGTTGATGCCAAAACAGTCAAAGATGTTTACGAAAGCTGGCCTCAGGGAAGAGGTGAATACGAAGATCTTCTGAGAACGGCAGCAGATAACGTTGGTAAGAGAAATACGTTTTGAATGAAGTTTCAAACACCTTAATTTCCAAACTGATCTTCTTTTCAATGTTTTTGCTGCAAGAGAGCTCCCTGTTTTTTAAAAGTTACATTACAGTTTTTCTTTAACATTTCAGTCGAAAAAGTCATTCTGGTGATCTGCCGTGCTGGTTCTGCGCTTTCTTTGAAGGATGAAGCGATCTTTACTGAAAAGGTTGGAGGTATCTTCCAGGACACTGGAAAAGGAATTATCGTGTGGATGAAACACGGTATGATAATGGTGGAAGCTGATGTCTTGGCACAGATGATTATGGCTTCAGGCCTAGGATCGCCTTTCGAGAGAACAAGACCGCGGACGAGTTATGAGGATGATTTCTCGCGACCCAGGTATACCACTCAGTCTCCTGACCCTAATGGAGCAGACAGACAAAAACAAACTGGAAGAAGTAACTCGAGATTTCCACAGCAGGAAAGTTTTTATGGTCCTGAGGCGCCCATGAAAGTCCAAACGTTGCAGCAATTGCAAGGCTTTGCACCGAGTAACGTAACTCTTCCACCTGCTGTCACAAGGTCTACCGCACACTTCAACTCCAAAGGAGAGCGTATCTTGCTTAAGACTCGTCTTCACCACGGAAAGATATCTTATGAGCCAAAAGATATTAACATACTGTATCCTGGATTTAAAGTTCCAAGTCACATTCAGAAAAGTCTCTTCGAGAAGCATATGCACACCTCTGAGGCTGTGGTAGAAATAGTACAAGACCCGAAGAGTAACAAAGAACGATGGTCCGTTGATCCAAAATCAAAAGGTTTGTTCAGCAAGAAAAGCAAAGAGGCCCATCCACTAGGATCTAGACAACACCAGACGTCGATATCCAACCCTACAAATGAAACGGTGGTGTTGGAAACTCGAGTTCGTTATGGAGAAGTATCAATGGCAAAAAAAGACGTTGAATTACGTTATCCTGACTGGCACATTCCCCCATACCTTGCCGAGAGCTTAAAACGCGAATATCATGAGACACCAGACGCGAAACTCCTTGTTATTTCTGACGTGGAACGAAACTTACGATTCATAGTAGAAACTGATATAAAGGATAGAGCGATGAATTTCTTGGAGAAGACGAAAAAGAAGTTTACAGACTAAATGGCCCGTGAACCGTCTAAATGAAATCTAGTGTTTGCTGTTTATCTTCGGTTAATGGCTTTACGGAGAAGATACGAAATAGCTACTACACTAACTAATAGCTACTAATGGCTCTGTCAATTCCAAGCACCTCCTACCGGCAACATTTCCTGCCCCAGGGTAGGGCATTTGCTATAACAGGTCAGTCCAGGGATGGAGTATTGTGCAATTTCATCTTTCAGTTTTTAAAATAACTATATCATTCGTTGTTTATTTTTTAATTTCCTGATTGCCTTCAATACGAAACGTTTAAAAACTGAATTGATAAACCACGTTGGAGTGCTGCACTCTTCAAGCGACGGCTAAGCTCTACTCTCACCCCTACATGTGCAGAAATTTGCGGAAAGAAATCTTAGTAGCTTTGCAGGGCGCGCAAGACGCTCAATTCGAAAGCGCTTGGGTGCCGGTGTTTATTCAAATACAATGTTTAAGACAAATCAGATTCTGCAAAGGCACTTGCCGATTGCAAGGCTGTGTTATCATTGGTAGTCACACGAAAATATGGGTAAAGTCCCAGACAAAATTGAATGCCAGTTGTTGCATTATTTAATTTGTTTATCTGGAAGGACATTGCTTTCAAACACCATGGTTACAGGTATCATCTATTTGTGAACAATTATTGTTTCCTTCGTCCCTCAGAATAATAGAATTTTCACCTTGTCCCACGGGTCGGGCATTTAAAGTTTTCCCGAAGCTCAACTGTGGGGATTTGCACAAATATTCTAGCCCCACCGCGTGGGGCATTTGCAACTCTTTTTCCAAAAAACTTGCAAATGCCCGACAAATGCCCTGGGGGAGGTAACAGAGGGACTTGGTATTGACAGAGCCATAAGCTCTCAGGGCCTCGATAGAGAAGAGAGATATGTGTAAAACTATTATGCTTCATGGAGTTTTTTCACACACTAAAGGCCAAAGTTGTCGAAATTAAAACTAATTTTCAAAGCAATCTTGGTAACTGGTATTCGTTGCACATGTAAGAATGCATGTTTTGGCGATGGGTCAACTAGCAACAAACACTGATTTTGGCCTAAAAGCTTATAGCTACTTATCGACAATTGTCTTGCAGACTAGTATAGCAAAAAAAAAAAAAAGAAAAAAAAACATGGTGTCGACAGCTATTTGTAATCGACAACTAAAGACTGGGTTTCTTTTTGAAAAGAAAAGAGAAAGTCAAAAGAAAGGGTTTTAACGTACGTCTTTAAAAATACAAAGTGCATCTTATCAAGATCTCTTGCAAAGAAATCAGACTCCCACCCATGGAAACTCGAAAAGTCCAAGACATGCTGTTCATAATAGACAATTGTATATCGGACAAAGCTCCATCCGCAGTTAGAGATCTTATCACCTTACGCTCATCCAAGAATAATCCTCGACATGACTATATCCTTTCTTTGCCGAAAATTAACACAACTAAATAATTATGGTCTCAAATCATGGAGATATTTTGCCGCAAAGAAATGGAACGAGCTAACAAATGATATTAGAACTAAAGTAGGCACTAATGAAGTGAACAACAAAATTCGATCGCTTACGTTTGACTGATGTCGGAAGAATTTATTGTGATTTGATTCTTTAGACCTTTAATTCTTCGCGTTTATAGGTCTTTATAGTTTTATACGATCAGTTATTGAACATTTTTAGTTTTAATTTTTAGAATATACTAGGGCCGTGTAAACTAGCTTATTAGCTAAGCGTAACTCCACGTTAAACATGATATCATCTTTATCTTATCCAAAGCTTTTTCTTACTCATTTTCTTTCATTTTGCTATCGATAACTTACTTCACACAGTGGCTTTATTATGTATGGCATATATTGTTACCGTTAAATCTGTGAGCCCCGCTTATATTGAACATTTTCTGGCGCAGGATTTTAGTCATATCCTGCACGTATTGCTTGTGGGTGTTTTGTTGTTCACACCCTATAGCAGGAGCGTACTTAGTACTAAGATGTCTTATTATAAAATAACTTCCATCTTTGCATCTTGTAGTTAAAACTGACGAAGTCTCACTAGCAGACGAAACCGGTCGATTCATAAATACAGTTGTACAAGATTTTCAGTTGTTGCTGCTTGCTGCCCACAAGTATTCTCATTTTAAAAGGGGTTTTAAACTGCACACTTTAAGGAGGGTTAAAGTGTGTAATTTATGGAGTATAAAGTGCACAATTTAAGGGGTTTTAAACTACGCACTTTAAGGACTGTTAAAGTTTTTGTAAAGAGATCTTGGCCCATATACTGATAATACCTCCGATATTTGGCATTATGAGGCGAGCTCCATACAATGACCTTAGTGCTTCGTGGTTTTTTTTCCTTTAAACTAGTATTTATAAAACATCTAAATTTACAGTCCATCCCTTAAGGTGGCTGAACACAGTTTTTGATACCTGTGTTTCATTCACCTTTTTCTCTAAAACCCTTGATCCCTCGGTCACCAAAAATGGCAGCAAGCAAGTTAACAACACAAGCTTTGGTTTTGGTTAAGCTGACGTATGTGCCGTTGTCATGGCAACACGAATAAATATAAACAGGCTTTTAAAATCGGTTTTGTTTATTTGTAGAACATCTAGTCATTAGATTTTCTTTATAATTTGCATGCAACAAGCTTGTAACGATTCTCACAAATTAACACCATTTTGCTAATAATTTAACAGAGAGATCTTTAATTATCCCTTGTTTAAGGTTCACTGGAATATCTAGAATTTCCTTTGTTAGAGTTCAATTATTTTCAATACTCCAGTTACTTATTTCCTTAAGTCTGTTTTCGTGCCAAATTTCGTGAAATTCTAATGAGTGGTTCTCGAGGAATAGGTGCATTTCCGAGAGCGCAATTTTTCATTCAATCGCAATTTTTTGACTTACTACGTATGCGCTGCATTTAACTGGATTATTTCGGTAACGAAGAAAAAGCTGAGAATTGCTGGGTTCTTTGCATCGTTACCTTTTCTAACATATCTTTGTAATAAAAGACTAAAGCCATCAATACACTGCGTTCAATTATAGACAAAAATAGCACAGATAGTGCGGGTGTTGAGTAAATAAAATGATCACTCTGTTGACGGCATGTTTGTTTTTTGCAATCCTTGGCGCGCGCTGAATTGCATCAGCAAAAGCGCGCGCGAAAACTGTGTTCGACCACCTTAAAACCGTGAATACCGGAGAAGATTTCTGGAATTAATGTTTATTGCTTTGCGATCCTTTCTGCTCGATTCAACATCGCTTTTCCGTAATATATCGTTCATATCTATTCTTTGCTTGTACATAAACTGAAATAGAAAAAGAACGATTTCAGTATTTGACTGAACGTTAAAATTGAAGATTTGTCGTGGAAGAGAATGCCAGCTCGTTCCGTGTCAAGTCGTGACTAATCCGTGTTTCGTTTTGGCCGTTACCTTTTGCGGTTTCATCCTACATCTGAATCGGGTCGCGAAATAATCATTCCAGAAATTTTCTCTGGTGGTCAAAGTTTAACGTGAAAGACTGTAATGCTTCTGCATTTTAGTCTCAGGTTTTCTTTTATCATGTCATTTTCGGCGTTCATACCGCTTATAAGCTCTTTCCCGGCCTTAAATATAAGCTCCTCCCCTGTTTATAAGCGCGCCCAAAACTCTTATGAAGTTGTTAAAGTCCAGAGCTTATAACCAGAGTTTCACAGGGTTGAAAATTGATGTAGCACGAATTGATAGAAAAATTACTTCTCAATAAATGCAACGAAATTAAGGCGAAATAAGGACAATATCTTAAACATTATAATGACGCAAAAGAAACTATCCGCGAAAAAGGAAAAATCTGAATAGTGAACAGTAGTATGATCCACTTGTGGTTTAGTCTATTGCGATCACGTAGTGTACCGCAATCCTAATCCAGTTTGTATCGAGAATGTTTCTCACGTTTGCNNNTATTCGCCGTATAGATTCGAAGTGTGTATGATTTCAGCAAAGCTGTGTGTATTTTGGCCCGCTAGCCTTCGACAATAAGTAACTGAAACCTGCGTCATCAGGAAAGAATGTTTTGTAGCTCGGTGACTGCAAATGGCCATGAGTTGGGGTAATTAAGAAAACAAATGTTCCGTGTAGCTCGGCAAATAGCCATGATGACCCTCAGGTCTAGGGTCAGAAAAAGAAAATAGATTTTCCGATTTGTAGCTCAGCAAATTCGTTGTGGCCATAATTGGTTGTCAGAAACAATCTTTCTGTGTTGTGTAACTCTCGATCGCCGAAAGGCCGTGTTTTGCGGTCAGAATGGTTAATTCACCTTTTTCATTTGTGAAAACAAGATGTAAATTCGAGCAATGTTAACAAGGACAAAAACAAAATATAATTTGGCGACGCGCTGTGTTGAAGAGTAGCTGGTCAAACTTTATTTTCTCAAACTTTATTTCCTTACAAGTGTTGGCGAATTGAGTTCTATATATAAGTGTCGCCAACAGTTCAAATGCCTTTCCTGGAAAATATTTTGCGCAGTACAAGTAAATACATATTAATTAACGACAATTTTACCGCAAGATATAATCTATTCGTAGCTAGGTTGTCTTAGGTTCGACGCTAGTTCAACTTCACACGTGCAGATCGTTTTCTGTCATTCGACCAAACTTAGTTTCGAACGCCACCAAGTCACCAAAGTAGACCAAACATGCAAAGTACGCGCGTGAACGCACTACTCTAATCTTTGATTACTAGCATGTTCAGAAATGTTGGGTGTTGTGAACAGTTCTACACTCGTTGCGTGATCTATGAACATGAACACGAACACACAGTGATTTACGAAGAATGCGTGACTTTCAACAATGCGTGGTTATCGAAATATGCGAGATTATTTTTCTCTGTTTCTCTATAAAAAATAGTTTAGTGATTGCGGTTTCCTGTATATGACAGCTCATGAATAGTTCGTTTTCCTCTATTTGACAGCTCATGAATAGTTCGTTTTAGGACTAGAATTTTAGGTTTCGAGTTCAGTTGCGATCAGCGTCAGTATTGCGAACATTCAATTGTGTTCAAGCTTCATCGTATTAGTTCTTCCAAGCCACAGAGATCTACTCTTCAGAATCTACTAATCAACTACAATAAAGATTAAAGAAATCTCTGGTGGTTTGATACGTTTGTTGCCTTCTGCACCATTGGGTTATTTAAGTAAAAGTAGTTAATGGGAATTAAGGTTGCGAAAATTAGTGCTCCACTCATTTAACTAGACTTCATTACTTCGTAGGATAAATACTTAAAAGTCAGCATTTTACTCCACCCAAGCAACTGCAAGTGCCGCTCCAAACCCGTCCCCCTCCCACCCCCCCTCCCCCATCATCTTGACTGTGTGGTTGGCCGCGCCGTGAACATAGTGACCATTTCGTGACCAGCTTTGCGTAAATAAATGATGCGTGACATTTCTGAAGGAATGTGCTTTGCTATGCTTTTTCGTTTGTCAGAGGAGAGCGATAGGGAACCAGACGGAACTGCTCTTAAATCTGAACAGGAACAAGAACGAAATCTATGTGGATCTTCAGTCTGCCTCTTGAGGAGCCCTCTAGTGTTCTATATCTTTGATTGTATGAAAAGTTGATCCACGTAAAATCTCTTTGTGATGGGATGCTGCTTCCGCTGTTCTGAAAGTAAGTTAATATTGGTAAGTTTTGTAGACGACAGTGTTGACCTGTCCCCACATTTTCTTGGACATACGGTTTTATTTCTTTTTCTTGTTTCGTATTTAATAGTGTGGTTCGCTAGAGTCTGATTTTATTCGATCGTGCGTACTAAAGCGGTTAACTTGAATCCAAGCGGTCAGGTCGTGAATAGCTATACATAGAATCTTACACGAGGCATTGACCGCAGCCGTAACTTGTCTTGTTATACGACGGGAGTGTACTACAAAATCGATGTAAGAAAATTAAACATGTCGCAGAGTTTCTTTTCCGATCAGCGACACACCTTTTCATGTATTCAGTAGGAGCCGCTGGCGCCTCGAACACTCAGACCTATATGAAAACAGTGAATTTGTTCGGCGTTTAATCAAGTCGATGCAGACATGCGTATTGATTAAGGTCGATCAAGCGCAAGTCAATAGTTTGTTCCAGGTTTGCTTCAGTCTACAAGTAAATCGTTAGGATATCTGATGATTTACCGACTGCCCTGTCAGGACCGAGTCTCAACGTTCTAGAGCTGCTCTGTCGAGTATCTCCAAGAGATACTTATCCTATCCGTCGGCTCTCCTAATACATTGTAGTGCTTTATTCAAATAATATGATTTCACGCTTGGATAATTGAAGTTCGTTTTAGAATACATGTATTATGCTTATGGTGGAACAATAGAACTTACTTACTTGAATACGTGACTACCTAATTCGCTAATTCAAAAACTCATTGATAATCCATGAAGGAAATACAAAAGAAATGAATGTTTAATGAGTGTCTTTAAATTTGATACAGACCCGGCTAAATTTTGCAGCCGATTTTCTCCAGAAAAATAATGATAAACGCAAGGATTATTCTACAAATGAGTAGATCTACCAGAAACGTTTTTGAAGCTGTTCAAAAAACTTGCAGCATGTGTTTTATCGGGTTAAACACACCAGCTACGCCTCATGTTTTAAATCCGATAACACAATGCTGCTCGTTTCTGAAATTGAACATTATTTAATAGAATCAAAACTTTATAGTTTAACACTTATGAGTCGATACGAGTAAAAATAACAGCTCTCCAAAAACTATTAATCGTAGCATACAGTCATTGAACAACTTGTAGAGGAAACGTCTTTAATTGCTGTTTTTATTTTAACAAATTTTCGTTAATTTTCCTAGCCGTTAGTTGTGTTAGGCTTACCCTTCAACGATCGAGGAGCAAGGTTTAATAAAGAAAGTTACTATTGATGTGCGGACGCCCACAATCAAATTGTCTATTTGATGTCTGTCTCTTTGAAATAACTTAGAGTTTTCACGTCATCGCGCTGAGGTCCCATTCCCGATTTCAACAAAAATAGTGAGCTTTTCTTTCATTAACTCAGAAGAAAAATGGGCTCGGCACTTGAACTTGAACGAAATAGTAGATAGTAATTAACATATTAATTAGATTATGAGTTCGAGATTTCTTTGAGGTGATAGTTGATGAGGCCGAGGGCCAAATCAACTATATCGCCTAATAGAAATCAAGAGCGAATAATCTAATTGTTTTAGTAGAATTCTAACTGAGGTTTACTTCAAGTAACGATTCCAATTATTTCTGGTGGGACTAAATCAGTCCACGTGACATTTGCAGTTGTGTACACGAGCTTATCAGTTTATTTAAAAAATTTCGAACTTGTCTAATTCAAGAAACCGTATATGCCCTCCTTTTAGTCTTTCGGCTCAGGAATTTGATTATCCATTTGTTTCTAAAATCTCTTTCAAAACTTCAGAGAAACGAGGAAACGTTGCAATTTTGTCGACCTCACCAAGTCACTGTGCACTTATGGCTGATAGTGTGCAATGGCTAAGCCAATCAGATTAGAGCATTTGCATTAGTATACTAGTAGAATTATACTAATAAAAATAGAAGTAATGGGCCCCCAACCTCAACCACTAGCTAGTTCGCGCTAAAACCATAAAGTGGCTGAGAGGGAGTGGGGTAGAGGAGCTACACACAATGTTTTGAAATTGACCAAGATCAAGCCTTGGACGGATCAGATAAAAAAAGAAAAGAAAACCATTCCCTTAAAATCAATTATGAATGGGCGCTGAAGTCAAAGTCCAATCTTTGACGGGAAAAACAGAGAAATAAAAACCCCTAACCGAAATCAAAGTCGCACTAAAACCAGAAGGCACCATTTAGGGGTACCTACATACACGCATATACTTTATTTACTCTCGAAATTTAAGTAGTAATAATATCTTCTAATATCTTCTGGGTGAGGCAGGGTGGCTGTAATTTTTTAATTGACCAAATTAATTGGTTGCTGATACAAAAGGCGGCATTTCAAGAAACATGTGACGTTGTGCTAAGGTGCAACGAAACTGGAAATCTAAATTGTGCTCGAGTTTAGTAAAAGTGCGTTTTGGCCATTAACTTGGCAAAGACTGTTTATTTACCCGGCGGCTCATGACTCAAGGGTTTGTCAAAATGAATCGGGGTAGCTATTTCTCAATATTGAAGCCACATCTTTCTTTGTGTCCATAGGAGATTCTGTAACTAGATAAACATTTCCATTGTGATGTCTCGTGGGAGGATACAAATTACACTCTTGGCAGACGAATGGAAATCTTCCAAAGGCGGTCTATCAACCATGAACAGAGAGTTGGCTATAGAGCTGGCCAAACACCCCAATGTGGCTGTCACTTTCTTTGTTGCGAAATGCACTGAAGAGGACAAGAAAGCAGCTGGTAAACATAATATTAGAATCGTGGAAGCAAAAAAGCGAGTTGGATTTGACGAACCACTTGATTGGCTAAGTTTTCCTCCTAGAGATCTCGTCACTGATGTCATCATAGGTCACGGGGTAAAGCTTGGAAAACAAGCGCAGGTGATAAAAGACTACCATGACTGTTCATGCTGGCTTCAAGTTGTGCATACCGCCCCTGAGGAACTTGCGATGTTCAAGAACTACTCGGGTGCCATTTCTAAAGGTGATGAAAAACAATGGACGGAAGTAAAACTGTGTACAATTGCAGATTTTGTCGTAGCAGTTGGACCCAAACTTCAGGAGTTCTACTCGGCTAATCTCAGCTCGTGCGGTAAAAATGTCATCAATCTTACGCCAGGTATCTTTACTGAATTCTCTGATTTGGAGCTGTCCACTCAAGGGGCTAAGAAGTTTCGAGTTCTAGTATTTGGACGTGGTGACTCAGAAGATTTCCAGCTTAAAGGATTCGACATTGCCGCCAAAGCGATCGCTGAGTTAAACGACAGAAGTTACCAACTCATCTTTGTAGGTGCCCCCAGTGGAAACGGAGAGCAGGTGGCTGAGAAGCTACTGAAGCAAGGCTTGCACCGAAGTCAACTGACCGTCAAAGGATTTATTGAAAATCGCGAGGACCTAGCTACGCTGCTATCCACGGCGAATCTTGCTGTTATACCTTCAAGAACCGAAGGATTTGGTTTGACAGCCCTAGAATCCTTATCCGCTGGTCTGCCATTTCTTGTTTGTCAAAACAGTGGATTCGGGGAAGCCCTGCAAGAAATACCTCTTAGTTCTTCTTGGATTGTAGATTCCGAAGATCCCAAGAAATGGGCTGAAGCCATCAAAGGTGTGCGAAAGAAAGGCAGGGAATCAGCTCTAAAGGAGTGTCAAGAACTACGTACACGCTATGCCGAGAAGTACAGCTGGGAGAAACAGTGCAACAATCTTGTGGAAATGATGTTAACCTTCGTCAGTAAGTACTCTCAGTTTGTTATAGTACATCCTCTAAAAGGTTATTGTCAGGAGTTGTTCTTGGGGAGGGACCGAGGGAGTCTAACTTTATTCTTTTTGTGGGAATTATTAAAGGCCTAGGCCTATCCCAGCACAGAACAAACAACGTCTGCACACCAACGTAACGAAATGCTTACCAGCTCCGAGCGACCACCTCCTTTGCCATATGTTGTAGTTATTGATAGTAAGGGTTTGGATAATGAAACTGATAATTTTGGTTCTGTTATATATAGCTGACCATAATAAAGAACTCCAAGGGAAGTGTTTTAGCAGTGATAACTTGAATGATGGAAGAGACCCTCCTACACAAAGACGAGATTTCGTTAGAGCAAAATCATGGCCTTCTGGAGAAGACGTAAATGATGAGAAACCAGAGCCTGGCAAAGGCGGAAGATCCTTGATTAACCGTTCTGTTTCTCACGAACCAAGCCGCAAAAAATCGAAGGAGAGGAAGAAGTCTACCTGGAAAGAGTTAATAAATTTTTTATTCAAGAATAAGTGTCGCAAGAAATCACTTGACCCATCTAGCAACAGGGAAAACTATGTTGCATTTGAAAGCACTTTTGAGTCCAGTCTTGCAACTTCACTGACTACATCAGGCACTCCCGCGAGCTCGTGCCGTCAGGCTTCCCCAAAGTCATGTGAAAATGTGTCTCCGCGCAATGTCCCAGAGGCACAGAGGTCGTCACTTACAGAGAGTTTGAGCTCTGGAGAATCCACTGCCTCGCCAATATCCCCAGGTTATGAATCAGGGTCCCTGTCAGTGGAAGGTAATATACAATGTATATTAAGTAACTGATCATTCTGTTTTATACAGGAATTGATGCTAATGATAAGTATGTTTAATTCCAAATTTTTGAAGGAACAAAGTTATTAGTTTTACCGAAGCTGTTGAATATTTTGCCAATTTAGCGATATTTCAAAGTCGCGAGGGACGGTGACCCCAATTATCTTTTGAGCAGGCTACAGCATCCCCCATCCCGTCGCTTATGACTCAAAGTACACTATATATTTAATGAACGTAACCGTTTGGTAAATTGTTCAATTAATGTGATGAATTACCATGCCGTCGTGGGGCATGCGCAGTGGCAATACGCCTTGTTACTTTATACTAATATAACATTTTAAAAATCAGGATTTTAGTGCTGGAAATAACTTATGTGCCAGTGCAATTGAGCTGGTTAAAATTTTGTAAGTAGATGTAGCTGTATGGGTTGAACTCATTATATAAGGTCTAGAAAATATTTAAAGAAAACTTACATGTACATGGACCAAATTGAAATCTTCAAAAAAATACTGGCATTCTGCACAGAGCATATTGACAAACTCAACTTCGTTCCCAGGCCTGTTCTCTTCGCCCCTCCCAACCTCTAGGGGAAAAGCATTGGGAGCGAGGTAGTTGACCAACCATCAGTCAGGAGGCAGCGTAGCCGAGTACGAGTGGTTAGGGCGCCGGACTTGAAATCCGGAGGTCGCGTGTTCAAGTCCCGCTCTGACCACTACGCTGGAGTTGTTTCTCGGTAGACCCTAGTTCAACTGCTCCGTCGGCCACGTTTGTAAACAGCCGAACTGGTCTGCATCCTGTCAGTTGGATTTTCAACCACGTTATGTTCATTTGCATTATTTGATTCATCATTTGTTTCCATTGGTCCTGAAGAACCCCATTAGGGGAGTGATCAATTAAGATGTGTATATGTATGTATGTATGTATGTATGTTTAATTCTGCATCTAACTGTACCGGCCGAATTACTATAAACTATATGTTTATATTAAATTGTCTATCTAATAACATTCTATTGGAACCTCATGATTTTCGCTTTTATAACATAGACCCATGTGTGAGTTCTGGAAAGACAATTTCATTCATTCATTGCTTTGACTTGGAAGGAAAAGCCTTTAAAGAAGAGGTCTTAAAGTTGTACGATCGTTTTGGACGATGTTTGGGGTACAAATGCCACTTGGACAAGTCAGAGACCATTCAAGTAGCGGAAAACAAGTTCCGATACGTGTTGAATAACGTCAAAAACAGCGACTTCGTGTTTATCTGTGTATCGCCTAAATTGAAAAGAATTTTCGATTTACCTCATAAAGAAATCAGCAACAGTCTTGAAGGTTGGTCCTGACTTTTAAATACTAATTCTTCGTAGTATTTTCCACGCATTTCTATGACTTTTAAAATCTTAGTTAGATATGAGAATGTTGTGGTGTATCATGAGATGACATTTTTTTGTTGAATGGTGTATTTCTCTATTCTCAACATCTGTCTGCTGTGTGATTGATATCTTTTGATTTATATTCAGTATTGCGTTGGCCAAAGGTCCCCATAAATTTTTTATCTGGAAGATTGTGAGGACTATTATTCTTACATGTAAAACTGCCCTCTCGCCCCAAGAAAAAGCTGTGGCGCGCGTCTGTTACATGTGTTACCGTTTATAATCACGTTCCTCGCGTATTGAATTATCGCTTGCAAAACGTGACTTTTGATTAGTCAAACCACCAGTCAAAACAGTTTCCACATATTCTGAAAAACAATCACACGAAGTTCAACTTGATTATCAATTATAACACAGATACACCCTCCCACCCTCCCTCCAATTTTTATCGAGAAATTTAGCTCGCTATACACGTTTACTTATGACATTTATTAAATAGAATCTTTGAAAACTAATCGTCCTTTCCCTTTTAACATTTCTTATAATCCCTTACTTAACCAAAAATGTATGAATTCTTTTATCGAGGCAAATTTTTCTCGTTAAAGTGTAAGAATGGTCAGTTGGACAGACTTATGGAGAAAAAGAAAGTTTTAGAGAAAATTTGTGCTTTTCTTTAACCTTTTGCATACCAAACTTTCGTTAAAAAAATACCTTTTTTAACCGTTTAGTCAGGTTTTTTTTTTTTTTACCAGAAGGAGAGATTTTTCGAGGATTACGTACAAAATTGAGCAATATTTCAATTCCGGGCATGCGCATAAGTGAAAATTTGGACTTCTTTTGCCATTACTCGTTCTCATTTTTGTTTGTTGCCCCTTTCCTTTCTTTTTTGCTCGGCCCTTTTACTCTGGCTAGCTTTTGCGTTGCATGTTTTTTCTGGCTGCCATGAAAAGTTGGATGTTAATTACGGGCGAAGTCTAGAAATGGACCTTGATCAATCATAGGCCATTTTACCACCGTTTTTGCACCAAGACTGATGACTTTTCGATTTGTGACGTCGGAATGTCGTCGATATCTAAACCTGACCAATGTACGGAAAGGTCTAGCTTAGTTCTACTATCTACTTATCAAGAATATCTGATGGCATTTAAATTGATGACGCCACAAGTGAAACAAAGAGCACGACCATTAATTACGCGTATATGCGAAATTAGGGCTCAAAGGGGTAATCGGGTGGGATGGAAGGTATAGAACATTGGTGTTGTCTGTTTCTTTACATCAGTGATAATCTGTTTTTTATCCCTCAGATGATGAACAGTGCATGCTGCGACTTGCATCCGATATGATGTTAGCTGAGACCGCCGTCGATGCCAGCAATAGGAAAGGCAAATTCATGACCATCATGCTCAAAGGATCCTCTACAAATAATGTGCCGTACTTCATGAATTCGTACATGAAGTACCACTGGCCAAAAGATGAGCGAAACATTCGATGCGTGATAGAGGAAAAGCCAGAGATTGTCCCCTCCCGTGTTGGCAATATAAAGACTGACCCACCCTCCCTGGCGGTGAAGCCGGTCAAACTGAACTAAGGCTTTCGTTTAAGGTTTGTTGGAGTATGCCCATGAATTGTTAAGCCTAAGTAAGTTAATCAGTGCATGTAATCCAGACCTTGAGCTAAGAGCGGTGGAGGGCGGGGGGCAGCGGTTTTTTGCTTGCCCTGCGGGCTTTTCTTCCTTCTTCGATTTTTTTTACCCAAAATAAGGGGTCCCCAGACCCCCCGAGCCCCTCCCCTAGATCTGCCACTGGATATCTCGTTGAGGAGGAGAGCTGGTAATCTGCGTGAACGGAATGTTTCGAGAGAGTTCTAACAGCGGTACGAAACTAAAGAGAAGTGGGTTAGTGGATTAACAACTGGTAGATCGTTTTTGTTGGCTAAGAGATGGCCCTGTTATTATCGGGGAGAGGGTTCAGGAAGAGGTCTAACTAAAGGCCGCCGCACACTAGCCGATTTTTTGTCGGCCGACAAAAACTCTTCACTTGTCGGCTAGTGTGCTGTGAATTCAGACAAGTCTGCGACAAAATCGGGGCTTGTCGGGCGATATCTGACAGTGCTAGATCTCAAAACGTCTTGTCGGGCCTTGCCGGCTAGTGTGCGGTGGACCAAGGCAATTTGTCGGGGCTCACGCGCGCCTCAACCAATTAAGAAATGTCATGAGAGTCACGTCAGTGGAATAGGCACCATCTTGATTTTGGATGACTCGGCCCCAAGCCTCAACGCGGTTAGTCGCGACAAAAAACGGCTAGTGAGCGGCAGCCTTAAAGCTCAGTATGTAATTTAAGAGGTACGTCTTTGGACATCAAGGTGAAAAATGATTATATTTCTAAAATTTGACCAAATTTGAATTAGCTTAGAGAAAGGCATTGATTTTAATGCAGTGAAACCTAAAACGTTTAGATGTATATTTTGAATTTGACAACTCTTTGGCCACAAATAAAAGCAAACCTTTTTGGGGTCTAAAATTGTGAGCACCTGAAAATTAAAAAGCCCCCAGCTGGGAAAGGATTGGAGTGCCATGAGTAAGAATACTTTACTATGATAGAAAATGACCAATTGCTGGTTTTCAGTGTCATGCCATTCAAAGTAAAACAAAATCAAAATCAAAATCGTTCAAGAGATTAAGTCCAGAATGTGGGAAATGAAAGAAAGTAAATATGCAAAGACTTTCGCCAAGACTCTGGTCGCAGCAATTTTTCTTATGCAAGATATGCGGAGAAATTTTTTACCCAAATTTATAGAGATTTGTATGGAGACGTCATGCTGGTGCCCATCCGTATG